GACCGCGCCCACCGTCCACCCATCATGGACCCATGAGGCACGCTGCCCGGGTGCGCACCATCCAAGAAAATTGGATAGCGTGGAGAGCCCCAGGGAGCTAGTCGCACCGTACGCGCACGAAACTGATAACGAAGAGGGCACTCTTGCCCGCGAAGGCTCCCGAAGGGCTGGTAGTCTAGCATCTTTTATATGAATAAGCGCATCTCCAACGTTGACCCTCAAACCGCCTGCATATTTTGGACCGCACAGTCCGGACCGCGAGCCATCCAATGTATCGGTCCGTAGGGCGGTCCGAACGTACTTCCTCCCAGAAACTGGAGACCCTCAAATCGCTCTGGCCCACCAAAAAACTCCACCCAGCTCTCCCGTGCTTTCTGTCAAACGTCTGTGCTGCTTGCCGCGATCCATTCATGCTGGCCCAGAGCATGCAGTGGCCGACACTGATGTCGTGATTTCACCAGACAGGAGGGCTGCACAGATAGACGAGGCCTCTCATTGCCAACATTGAAGCAGCACGCCGACCGAGAGACGCCACCCGTTGCACGCCCGACTGAACACGCCTCTTCGTCGCATTCAAACGACCACAGACTACCCGCCTTCCTCCATTAAGCCCGCGCGTGCGCCGGGAAACCTACTCGGGCCACACATCCATTTGCGAGCCGCTCATCCTTAAACACAATGCCGGTTATCCCCGTCCGTCAGCCTGCTATTTAAACCATGCCAGACGCTGGGCAAAAATCGCACCATTTTCTCCACAATCTCCATGGCATCCAACAAGCAGGAAGGGGAGTTCTCAGGCATAAAAGCCAGCTGGGTTGCTCGTCGAGCCCGCCGGATATGAGGTAGGCAACGCTTTGCTCCAACACCCTTGACGATGTAGGACGCTGCAGTCCAGCTCGTAGATGCAGAAGCTCCAAGTCGGTGCGCCGTTCATCAACTCGTCGCTCCAAGCCAGCTCGCCAAGAAGCGGCTAGTTGCTTCAGGCCGGCACGCGGGGAGCACGGTGGCACGGGCATCGTGGCTACCATGGATGACGTCATGTCGTACCGCTCCTCATATGCCCGGGACTGTGTCATCCGTCAACGTAGCGTAACCGCGCCCTGCCGGCGGAGAAAGAAGCCGGCTTCACGGAGATGGACGAAACGGTGGTAAGCACGTATGCGGCCGCTGCCATCATCGAGGAGAATAAGAACACGGGAGGCTGCCGCCACTTAGGTCTCATGAAGGCTGCCACCGAGGCGACGTCAGCGTACACAGCCAGTGTCCTGCCCGGTCGCAGGCCATCGTTGCCCCATTCCCCTCCGGCTGAAGCACATCGTGGGGGTTCCATTCCGATGAGCAACACTGCCGAACATGGGGAAGCGAGTTGCCCTTTGCGCTGAAGCACATACCTCCGGAGCTCACGGCGGTACAGCGAGAGGGCTGCCGGACATGGGGAATAGAATGGAGATCCACCGTGGCCGACCGTAGACTAGACAAGGGTATCCGTGTCGTGCGCATGGATATCCGCCACACCGGCCGTAGACTAGTTTTACCTTAGTCCGGTATAGTTTTTAGTTAAAAACTATCCAAAATGTAATAAATGTCATCCAGGTTATATGAAATCCGCCTTGTTTGCATGAATTTCGTCCAGTTGATTTAAAAAGTTGTTGGAATGTATGCAGGTAGCGTTGGATGGTCGGCTTTTGTATGCGGAAGAAAATTTGTGAATTATTGTTGAAGATGCCCTAATGGGCAGATAAGAAAGGTTGACAAAAGCCCGCAGGAGAAGATTGCAATAGAAGCACGTCTTCGGGTAAAAGATAAATAAATTAACATGAACCGCCGGATCTCTTATGGATGCGCTAGATTGACCGTGGGGAGTTGGTGGAGAGCTCTATGTTCGTTTCGCAAAAACGACCCTGACTGACACCTGTATACAAAACAAATCCCTCTACCAGCTCCAACATGGCCAATCTAGAGCATTCATTCAAGATCTAACAGTTCACCTGCAACGGGACTTCTCCCGTAGTCTTGCCCGTAATCGCATCGATCCAGCGGCGCTGCCAGCCATGGTATGCGTGCACGCGGACGCGGCATGGTACGTGCTACGAATCTTTCACAAGTCAGACTTAGCTTGCCTAGTACTCCCTCTGTAAATTAATATAAGAACATTTAGATCACTCTTTAGTGATCTAAATGATTTTATATTAATTTACGGAGGAAGTATTATACGACTCATTATTGCTTCAGGTTTATACTACTAGTACAGGACTATACAAGAGGGCAGTGTGGAACTCAACGGACCGGCACTATGGATAACGATGAATCTGTGGGCATGGAAGAAAGTTTTGAATTTTCAACCAAGTTTATATAATGGACAGAGGTTTGTTTATGTGTGATTTAACATCCTTCACGGCTGCTACCTACGGTGCTAGTTGACTTTAGCAACTGGCCGAAGGTCGTATAGGTCAGGTGATACGTTCCTTTGTTTGTCAACGGAAGTTTGCTTGAAGACGGGGACATGCAAAACATAACTTATGTTCCTTTGTTTAAAGTAACCTTGTGTTATATTTACATGTTGAAGAGGCCGTATGACATGCTTTTTTTTAACACAAGAGTGGAAGCATTCAACGTCTCTTTTCTGTCTGTCAATTTAACTTTTAGCGACTTTTATATACCCCAGCATATCCCAATATTTTGGAATTTTTCGTTATCTAAATTGGAAAGGGTTATATATGAGTGAAAGAAATGGCTGGGAGCTGTCGCTTATTTTTGCTTCTTTGTCCGGTATAATCACCAGGGCATTGCATCACCCCTTTATCCATCGCCCATCACAGTGCCGCCATCCAACGACTATTGCTTAGATATTACTTCCTCTATAACTAAATATAAGATATTTTTGCAGTTCAAATTACAACAACATCTTATATTTAGTTACAGAGGATAGCCATGTACGTCCTCTGCTGAACTAGACAGGACAGAAGCATGACAGCTACTCATGTTACAAACTTGTGAATCCTAGGCCTCTTTCTTGCAAAAAAAAAAGAATCTTATTGCGCCTCTATTGCAAAATTTTCTCGCAAATCATAGATTCTCTTGCAATTTTTTCTTACACTAGGTATGTGTCCGTGCGTAGCCACGGGGTCAAATAGTTTTTGTCTCAATAAATTTGGTAGCATGAATCATGTATGGTAAGTACATTAATGTGATTGAGCAGCGTACAGGAAGGTGAAATATGACATGGAATTGAGCAGTGTAATCCCCTGTTATTGCAAAAGGTAAGTTAATTAAGGTGGAGTTGATGTAGTGGTACAAAAGGTAAGTAAATTAATTTTATTGAACGGCGTACTTGAAAGGTGCGGCCAATATGGCTTGATGGGGGAAAGTCCACAACAGGATGAAAAAAATTGGTGCACGGACGTGGTGGGAGGGGGTGAACCGGTTGACAAGTAGTAGAGATGCATTGCAGCTAGCTATGCACACACAAAGAGAAAAAAGGTGAGCCATCTATCTTCATTGTTCAACTCTTTGATGAAAAGATGAAAACCAAAAAAAAAAAAAACTCTGCCCTTCCATCTCTTGGATAGATAGAGAGGGAGGGCCAGACAGAGGAAAAGAATGTGCACCGCTATTCAATTTCCTGGCGGGTTGTACCCCCAGCAGCATATTTTTCTAATTTCCCTCTATTGTGCAGGCAAACCCATGATTTTAAATACACAAGTGCAAAATTATATGATTATGAGACATTTTTATGAGAACCAAACTACATTATTTCAATATAAC